CACTGGTTTATCAAAGGTGGGTCTGAACACTGGGTTATGAAAGGTGGGTCTGAGCACTGGGTCATCAAAGGTGGCCTGAGCACTGAAAAGCAGCAGGAGTCAGTGGTCAGCCTGCCGTGCTGGGCATCCAGGCTCTGCTCAGCTCCTCCTCCTGTGGGAGCTGGGGCTTGTCGTGTGTCCTCTCAGTGACTCCAGTGCTTTCCTGCCTCTGTTTATCTTGTCTGCCCTCCCCTGAGCTTCCTGGAGCTGGGAGGAGGGACTCCTGCTCTGCCTCCACACCGTGCCTTACCCTGATCCCCTCTGGACCTCTGTGGGTGCTGCTCTAACACGAGGAGACTAACACTGTGGTGGAAGTGTCCTTAAATGCCATTTGACACGCACACAGCTCACATCCTGCGTATCCCAGAGGAAAATACTGTGGGCATTTTAATCTATAATGCAGGAAAATGGTAGGGAGTTTTAAAATACTGCAGTCAAGAGCTGCTGGAGTATGGAGATGTTGGGATTGAGAGAAGTTGTGTGTACTTTGATTCACATCTTTTTTGTTTGTTTGTTTTGGAGGGTTGTTTAGGACATCTCCTTGATGTCATTTTAGGTTTTAGCAGTGCCTTGTTGATCCAGTAGTGGAAGTTAAGGGTAGAGAGGAGAATGTTTGCAATTAGCTATTTCGGTGATAAACATATATATCATAGTGACTGATCTATCTATCATAATATGATTTCCATCACTTTGATGTATTTGGGTGATACTGAGGGGAGAGAGAAGCTTGCTTCCCCTGAAAAATGAATCTGAAGCGCATGTTGATGTTGTTTTCTGTCCTTCCAGTCTCCTCCCTGACAGACTGTAAAGTTTGTGAGGCAATGTAGCTTCAATGCCATCACTGTCATTCCTTTGCATCTTGAAACGTTGCTTGCAGCTGCCATCCTACAGATAAAAACTTGCTTCCTAAGCCAGCAGGACTGCTGCTGGAAAACATGGTGCATTCCCTTTTCCAGGCACTGAGAAATCCTCCTTCCCTGTGGCTGAGGGTCAGGGGCCCTTGGGGTGGTGGTTGTGGTTCCAGGCCCCTTGTGCTTGTGTAGTGCTTTTGACACAACCAAGTATTCCATTGAGAGCGTCCCTCTGTGAGGGGAAAAGGCATTTTGGCTTCCTGGAGGAGTGCCATGGAGGAATGCTGTTGATGCAGGGTGAGGGGCTTTGCCTGGTTGCTGTCTGGGCTGGGGGTACCTTGCAGACCCTCATTTCAGAGCTGCTGAAGACTGGCTGAACTCTGGAAGCTCAGCCTGTGAAATGTCAAACGTGCCCTGATGTTGAGAAAGTTCAGAGACTCTGAGTTGCATCTCCCAGAGGGGGAACGTGGCTGGGCAGTGCTGTGGCAGGCAGCCCTGCAGCGTCCAAGAGCTGCTGCCTTGTGTGGGTGACGTTAAGCAAATAACTTCTTCTCTGCTCGCTGTTTTTTATGGCTTTTCCCTTGTTTAAGAATGGATGCTTGAACTACATGTTTACTGAAATCCTGTTTTGCTGGGAGATCTGAATGTTTGCCAACATCTAAACACGAGTGACCTTGGGATTTGGAGCCCTTATGCAAGGAACCAGGAAGGACAAGGTCTCTGCTGAGATGTTGCCTGTGAGTGTGCATAGCAGGGAAGCTCTGCCAGAGCTCTGTGTCACACGAGCTTTGGGATCCTGCTCAGCTGCTTAAGGATGTGCTCTATACGCAGGCCTGTGTGGTCCAAAGCAGGAAAGTTTGCCTCCTGGATCAGGAGGGGAATATTGCTGAACAAGCTGCAGCCTAAAGGACATCTCTTGTTAATGAAATTTGAAGGGAGGTTCTTACTGGAAGGAATCTCTTGATCTTGTTTTAATGAAATGTGAGGAGCGAGTATGTTCTTCAGCAGGCAGAGCTGGGTGCAGGCCCAGTGAGAGCACGCTCTGAGGCCCGAGTGCAGTCTGCTCTCTGCTGTTCCTGCCCATCTTCAGCCAGCTCACAGTGTGTGATTGTTCTGCTCTCGCTCCAGCGCGGCACCGGAGCCTCACCAGCAGAGCTGGTGCCCTGCCAGCACAGGGCTCTGCACACATTGCTAACGACGAGGGGATCCAGCCCTGCCCAGCGGGAAATGGAGGAGACTGACTCAAATCTTCCTCCCTACCCCACAGAACGAATATTTTCTTTTCTGCCAGGAGAACCTGGGCGATGTTTCTCTTGTGTTGACTTCTGTAAATCAGCTCTGCCCAAGCAGCGGTCTCCTCCTCGGCCATAGATAAGCCTTTGATCATTGGTTTTGCTTCGCAGCAAAGTGCCTCCATTGCAGCAGGAGGGCGGCTGGCAGCAAGGACTGATCGATACTGACTTTTTAAAAACATTTCTACTTTCAAAGATTAAATATTGTACTAGACTTTATGATTTGAGGTCATTTTAACCTCCTACCTCTGGGCTAAGACAGCTCATCTGCCTCTCATTTTTCAGGCTTTGTTACATATCTGTTTGAAGCCATATGTAGAATAGTAAAAGCTTGTAGCTCTCTTCTGGTAGCAGTTAAAAAAGGGAGGGAGGAGTGTGAGAGGCACGGGCTGTGTGACAGCTAATACTCCCCCAGCTTCTGATTGGAATTCAAAGTGGGTTTGCACCATTTGCCTTCTGTCTTATTTCCCTGCATTAGTGGTTAACCTCAGCAGGACACTCCCATATTATTATTATTTTCTTGCAGGAAAATTGCCCAAAGAAAATGAAGTTCAAGTCATATCAGGCAGATTTTTTTACTATGCCTGTAAGGGGAATTCCTTCTGAATGGGGAAGGAGAGAGGCAGAAGCCTTATTTAAGTGAAGTCAATCAGGAGATCTGTCTCCTCCCACAGCCTGCCAAGGCTGGGAGATGTGATGGTGGAGAGGTTGATACTTGTCCTCCTTTTCCTTTTGCACATCTCCTGGTGACATTAGCCAGAGGAGATAAGTGAAGAATATTAATTCTGGTGCCACTGAAGTGTGAGCCTAAGATGTGAGGGGACCCTGGCACTGAAAACTCAGGCTGCCTCTCTTTACTTTCTCAGTAGAATAATCTGCCTCCTTGAAATTCCTCCTCTATGTCTTTTCTTTCTGGTTGTTTGGTTTCTCATTAAAGCAGTGGTTGTATTTTGCTTTGGGGATGATTGTGTAGCTCTGATCATGCTGCATCCGATACGTTTATTCACTTTGGAAAGCGAGTGGGATCCTTTAGGATTAAAAGCCCGCATGAATGAATGGGATTTTCTGGTTTCGTGCATGTGTGTATGCTTGTATATGTAATCTGGTCTATTTTTGTACTTTGTTTTTTTACCATGCATGCAGGACGGTTTCAGGCTTTTTTTGAGGGGCATTTTAGAGAGGGAGGCTGATGCTGGGGGTGCGCTGCAGGTCTGTGCCCTGCTCCTTCTCCAGGGGGTGTTTAGCATTCCAGCAGCAGGCTGCTGTGGCTGAGTGTTGCCAGCCAAGCCTGGAATGCTGCTCAGAGGTGCAGGTGGTTTGTATCGATAGGTATTTCCATTACTCTTAAGCTGGATTCTGATTTCAGCAGTCGGGTTTCCATGTCCCGAATTGGTTTTGGTGATGGAAATGCTTACTAGAAAAAGTGATTTGCCGTGCACTTCTCTTTGCCCTAAAGGAACATTGTCAAGAATTGCAGGGGAAGATTAAACACTTAGTCTTGCTCTCCTAATCTGAATTGTTCTGTGAAAGCTTAATTTAAAGAGTATGCTCCCGATCCAAATTTGCTGCTCCCCACTGGCGTTCAGCTCTGAGAGCATATCTATAACACACAGGATGGTGAGTGGGAGGCATTTTAACCTCTGCCAAGAGGCAGACACAACAGTTGGGAGAGTCACAATGTAATGGTAAATATTTTATTGACATGTTCCAAACATATTGGATGTAAATTTAAACACTATCTGAGGTTTGCGAAGTTTCCTTGTCAGATTTTTTTTACGTTCCCGTAAATCCCGGTTCGTTAATTGGCTGTAAAGTGAGGAACATCTGAGGCAGTGCTTTGGCAGCCTGTGGTGGGTGGTGGGAGCCCCTCGGAGCAGCCCTGCCGTGGGGCCAGCCCCACCTTGGGAGGCCCTGGCACGGCCCCGCGTGCTTGGAGCCCTCTCGGCTCCGTTGTTCTCCAAAAGGCAGGGGAGATAAACCCACACTGGAGTGAGGGTGGGTCAGGAGGTGTAGAACGGGGTTTTCTGGCTGCTAAAGAGGGCATTGGGGTCTCCAGAGAAATGGCAAGTTCTGTGTAGACTTAATAAAGGTAATAAAACCTTTAAAACGGTTACCTTCAGGTGTTGCCACCGTCTTGTTTCCCTTACCAGTTAGCCCTGACGTGGCTGCTGGTCAGCAGCTTGTGAGGAATGGCTCTGAATTTGGGCTAGGCTCAGGTCTTCAGTGGCTGTGAAGAGCAGCAGCTGCAGGAGGAGCAGCCATGGGTCCCTCTGCCCTGTGTCCCCAGGCTTGTGGAATTATTCCCCCTGTGTTTCCTTGTGCAGGACAAGAGCAGAAAACCTGGGGGCAGGAGGAGCTGAGAACTCCCATGTTCTGGGTCATCTCCTCTTCCAACACCATGCCCTTGATAAGGACTGGAGATGGAATTGTCCCTCTGTGGCTCTAGAATCTGAGTGTTTGTCCAAAAAGGGAAGAGTAGAGAAAATATGGTTGGGTCTGCAGCTCGCTGTGAATGTTGCACTGAAATGGGATTTTATAGAGATGCATCCCACTGACTTTTATCATCACCCTCATAAATTGAAGATTCTTCATTAGATGTGCAGTAAAAGATTTTACTCTTGTAACATTCTGAAAATGTTTCTGTTACCTACCCTTGGATGTTGGTTTTCTAATGGATGATCAGTAAAAAGAAAAATAAATCCAGTTTTGGATATGCAGTTTGGCTCCAAAAGGTTATACAGCATTTATTTCAGTGCAGTTCTTCTAAAATTCTTCTGCTGGTGTATTTTGAGGCTTTTTTTTTTTCTTTTTTTTTTTTTTTTTTTTTTTTTTTTTTTTTTTTTTTTTTTTTTTATTTTAGTCTAGCTAATTAGATTTCTGGGGCTCAGAGGA